TTCGCTGAGGATAGAACTCAGTGCTTCACATGTGCTAGGCAAGCGTTCTACCACTGAGTTACAGCCCCAGCCCCATATCTGTGATCTTCTAATAGCAGGACAGAAAGGAAAAAGATGGTCTTAGCACAGGTCACATATTCACAGCATGGGGTAAATGGAGATACCGCTGAATAAAATCTGAAGGACATTTTTTTTTGGTCTGGACACATTATTAGTAATAACAATTCTTTTTGAAAAAATGATGTGAAGATATTCGGACTTTTTTTAGTAAAGTTCCCTTCTATTAGAAAAAAGGAAAGTTTGTGTAAGTTGGACAAAAGTTTAGTTTTTTTTCCCTTTGGAATCATTCTGTTCAATCAGGAGGTAATAAAAGGAATGAAAGTTTAGAAGAGAATTGTGCTTTCATTAATGGGGTAGAACATTTATAGTTTGAGGATGTGATAGGGAGTGTGGGGAATCAGTACAGTGTAGGCAAATGGAACAACACTGCATTGAACTGTTTTAAATTGAAATAAGAAACAATAAAGTGTGCAAGTATTAAATATTCAATGAACTTTTCTTATTTGAAATGAGTTGAGTTATATACCACCACCTAGACCAAGGTGGGTCATTTAAGAATGATAATTTTCATTTAAGTATGTTCATGCCTATTCTTGCCCCGTAAGTACTACTTCTTACCCTCTTCCTGGAAATATCTACTATATTTACTTTTATCATCACGGATACATTTGGTCATTCTTGAATTTCCTATAAATGTTAAGTAGCACATACACTTGTCCTCCTCTCCCTTATTATTATTATTATTTTGCATTTTTGGAATCCAAGACCTTGCTCATACAAAGCATATGCTCTACCACTTAGCTACACCCCCAGGCCAACACACTTACTTTAGTGCTTGGCTTCTTTTACTCAATGTAGAGTGTCATGTGTGGTTAATCTGTAACATTGTACTTGGTTTTTGCTGCTTAGTATGTGTTCTTTTGTATGAATGTATAGCAATGTGCTTATCAATTATTTTCTTAGTAGACATTCATTTTGTTTGTTTTTAGCTTCTGCATTTATTAATAAGGTTGGTATGAAAATTCTTGAAAATGAACATCTTTTGGAATATATACTTATTTCTCTTGGATATATGCCTAGAGGTGAATTTATGGGGCCATAGGACAAGCATTTATTTGGCTTCTAAATACTACCAAATAGCCAGGTGTGATGGTGTTTGCCTGATAATCTTAGTGACTCAGGAGGTGGAGGCAGGAGAATCACAAATTCAAGGTCAACCTCAGTGACTTAGCAACTTAGCAGGGGTCTCAGGAAGTTGTCAAGACGCTGTTTCAAAATAAAAAATAAAAAGTAAAGTGGTTTAATCCCACTATAGAAAAAAATCAGCTAAATAATAACGTTGGGACTGGGGCTGTAGCTCAGTGGCAGAACACTTGCCTAGCGTGTGGGAGGCGCTGGGTTTGATCTTCAGCATGGCATACAAATAAAATAAAGGCATGCTGTCCATACACAACTACAAAAAAAAATTTTAAAAATAACGCTGGACACTTCTTATGTTTATTAGCTATCTGGGTATTATCTTTTTTATATGTCAGTTCAATTTTTGCCTACTTAAAAATAATGTTAGGTTTTTTTTAATTGAGTTTAAAAAATATAATCTAGGTCTGAGTCCTTTGCTTGTTCATTCACATGACTGTTCTTGATGTCTTAGTTAGAAATGTTTTCATTTTAATAAAATCAGTTTATCAACTTTTGCTTTTATTGTTTTTGCTTTGTCCTGTTTAATTTTTTACTACCAGAAATTCGAAACAAGATTCTCATGTTTTCCTTTGAAAGCTTTGTGTTTTATTTTTTCTGTGAGGTTTAAAAAATTTTTTGGTAAATTTCAAATCAGTTATCATATATGGTATGAGTTATTTTTATTTATTTCATGACAGTATTATGATGTTTCAACATCATTTATTGAAAAGACTCCTCTTTAAATTTTATTGACTGTATTTACATGGTTGTACTTGAAAATCAGTGACAATACTGTAGAGGGACTGGCTGGAAAGGAGTTGACTTGGAGCCAAAGTGCTATATTTTACAAGTACAGTGGTGAATGGAAATGAGGACAGATATTCTTGTGTTGTTTTGTTATGAAAGTACACTTATTCTTAGGAATTTGATATCTTTTGTTCTATTTTAAATGGATATTTAAAATTCAGTTTTTAATTATTCATTACTAATATGTTTTAAATGTTGATTTTTTTTAGGGAAAGCAGGCTATATTTATTCAAAAACTACAAAAGATTACAACATAAATCTATCAAACAAAATTATTTTTTAAAGTTATATATGAGTCACTTATATGTATGAAAATTCTGTCCAAATCTAAATAATAATCCATTTCACAGAAAGATTATTATGTCACTCAGGGAGTGAAAAGTAATACACAGAAAAGCTTTGTCAATACAGACTACATAAATATACAAATCTAAAGTTTAATGTAACATGAACAAATCATAAGTACACAGTTCACTACTACCTTTTTCTAACATTATAGAAGTAAATGTTTTATACTTAGTTAAATTTACAGAATGTATATAACCTTTAATCCTAAGTAGACTAACAAGTGTAAACCAAGTAGAAAGTGAGGTTTTTCACATGTGAGAATGTATATTTAAGAAAGAACCCAACTTGAAGTAAATTCATTAATATATATTGCAAAGGTTCACGAAAATGTTTATCATTTATAATTGTACAGATTAAATTGCTAAAAATTAATATCAGAATCTTACTGTGGGGGATTGTAGTGACTTCCTTTAAAGGTCATATTATTTGGGAGCTTAAAATTGCAGAGATCAATGTAAATTAGATAACATGGATGGAGAAAAATATACAATTTGTAATAACATGAGGTTAGAAAACTGAACATTGTAGAAAATATATATTAATGTGCATAAGTTGGTTTTGATAAACTATTGGTTACTTGTTATAATAAATCATTAAGATTTTCATTACAATAGCATTTTCCCACACAGGTCAGAATTTGGAAGCAGTATGCCTTTCTCAAATTGTCATTTAGTATTTTTTTTCTTTCCTACCCCTCAAAGCACAGAAATAGGTTTTTGAATATCAGTAAGCTATTTATGGAGGTCACAAGATACAGATATTTATACATACTGCACAAGCTACACTGAGGTACCTGGACAAATGCTACCAACATGTATGAAAAAAAGATGGTTTTAAAAGCGGTAAGTACTAAAGTAGTTACAATAAACACACTATTTATGTCCTTCTGAAACCCCAGTGAGGGAAACCTTATTGCCATTATACCAAATGCAATATAACAAAAAGCACTGCACAAAGGATTATGAATCCAAGGTACATACCACAGGATCAAAAATCCAATTAAACAACTGAGCTAATCAATTAAGTAAATTACAAAGTAATACCAAACTTCTTTAATGTATCAGTACTATTTTAGAAGCATCATCAGAACAAATAGAGATTTAATTATTAATTGGCCTGGGCTACATTCTGTACTGAAAATTTTGCTTAGTACTATAGGAGAATCTCAGACATCCTAGAAAAGCTGTGAAATAATGCTCTTTGTTATTCATCAAAGGAAATTTAACAGGTTTAATGATACCTGTATACTTCCCATTGATCTGAAGTTCTTTCTACATACCAAGCAATTCAGTAATTGACAGGAATATTAAGCAGAAAAGAAAAGAAAAAGAGAGAGTAAATCAAAAACAAAAATAAAAACAAAGCAGCAGACCCTGTATTGACAGATGGATATTTTAAAAAATTACCAGATAAATATAAATCATAAAATCAAATGTACTCATAAAGGCACACTTATTTTGTGTTACATACAAAACTGTAGATTGCAAACTGTGCATGCATACCATAACATTTTACCTGGGAAAGCCGATGAGTAGGATTTCTTGCAAATATTTACTGCCATGATACAAAACAATTATGTGCAAATTGCAAGGTGCCTAAAATACCAGTTAGCATTTATATATAGAAAGAGGTCACTATCTGATCAAATATTCAAGAAATGGAATTTCCCAGAGTTTATAACACAGAAAAATAACCACCATGGCTTTTTTCCATGTGTGACAATTTGACTTCTTTATTCTGGTTCTCACTTTTCCATAGTCTAGGCGTCTGAATGATCTTTTCAACAAGTTCTTCAAAGGCTCACTGTACATCATCACAGATTTTTGCAGTTGCCTCTAAATAACATGGAATGCTTTCGTGCAAATTTCAGGCCTTCATTTCTACCAACTTCATGATTTTTCTTATCAATTTTATTTCCAACTAGCATGTTTACTATGTCATTTCTTGTACAGTAAGTTTCCAATTCATTTAACCAATAATCTAATTTAACAAAGGTATCTCTTTTTGTGACATCATAAACTAATATAACACCCTGTGCACCTCTGTAATAGCTGGGAGTTAATGTTCTAAACCTCTCTTGACCAGCAGTATCTCATATTGCAAATTTAGTCTTATTTCCATCCACTGAAATTGTTTTTGAAAGGACACTCACCAAGTCCACTCAAAGTCCAAGGACCACACCATACACCAGAATCTTATGCAAGGGATTTATTGTCGTAGCATGGAGTAAACCAACAAGGAGGGCAGCAACATGTTGGCACTCACAGGCCAGCTTTACAGCCTGCAAGAGGAATTTCACAAGCACTCTTGGGGGTTGCGTCACGGGCTGGGGTGGGGTTGACCTTTAAGCAGGCACACGTTCTTATGGGGAGCTAAGCAGTATCGCCTCAGAATCTCTAGATAAAATGGCTCCAGATCTGATGCTAATATTGATCTGTTGCCGATATTTTTCACCTTAAAGTCAACACCTATTTTTGCTGCAAGTTTTGGATCAAAAGTA